AGTGGATATTTCATGAAGAGTGGGGACACTTTCCATGTTGAGGATCTAGTTCTGCAAGCTCTACTCAGCTTGTTCATTATGTAGATTACATGAAGTCACAGTAGCAGATTGTGCAAGTGTTGGTCAAGTTAATAAACTGGCAGCAACCTCCTCCCATCAATTTTGCATCCTATGCAGCTAAATCTAACATACAGATCTCTGAAAGTCCAGCTAACTGGAAAGAGCAGATGCCTCATATTGAAGAAAACTAAGGCAGACTGAATAGGAAGCACTTTGAATAATTCACCATTCACCATTTTCTTCCTTAGGGAGTTATGTGGCCTGTATTATACAAGCACCATGCAGTTTGCCTCTTCCAGCAAAGCAGTGGCCTGCAACTGTGCCGAATTTATCTGTTTATCCATCAAATATCAAGAAACAAATTATTTGCCAGAATCGCACAGTAAAGCTGGTACTTAACTAACTGAATCCTTTCTCTTCCTAACTGTGACAAGGTGCTCCTTTGAGGTGCTCTCCCCTTTTGGAAGACTGACAGTTGTACAGGTTGTTTCCTTACTCAAAAGGCCATTCCCTCAGGACTAGCAAGAAGCCGCACCTATCCTGTCAGATCCAGGCTGAACTACACTGACCTGGCACTTGTGACTGCCGAGTCTGAATAGCATCAACTGTTATGCCTCAGAACAGAACAGATGCCCCTCAAAACAGTCACAGCTGGTTTCATACACAACAGGCCATCTGCTCATGCAACACAGATGGCTGAGAACAGAGCAGCTCTGGGCTTTGCTCTTTTCCCTGGCTCCAGGTCAAAATAAAATGAGGGGTTTGATCTTCATGTTGTAAGAGACGTGACCTCTCTCTGACTGAGGAAGGCTTCTGCAACATGTGTCACAGTCAGCACGAACAGGCAGAGCAGCTTCAGAACACTCCGGGGACTGTTCCAGCTACTGGGACACCCCTCCTCTAAGCACATGCACAGATACAGAAACAAAGAGCTTCTGGGGACCCTCATGTGCTCAGATGTAAGAAGAAAGAAATATTTTTATGATTACGCTTTACGAAATTGTGACACGCTCATACACCACAGCAGTATCTAAGAAGAGATTTAAAAAAAAAAAAAAAAGCAAGCTGCGTAAATAATGGAAAAAATATGGCTTGAAGAAGAGTACAGGCCTACAAATCTAGGACTTGCAGCCTCTAGATTCTCATACCTCTCCTCCAACTCATCTGGAATGCATTTAGCTGACTGTCGCAGTGGTTTATATTCTGAGGCTCCTATTCAGCAAAATAGAGTTTGAGAAAGATTGAAATCTGGTTTCAAGTACCTGGATAATCCATCTGAAGTAAAAAAGATAACTTATATATCTAAAATGAAGCATATGCTTAAATGTCCTGCTGAATAGGATTAAGGTAATCAAGAAATTTTCTACAGTTGAAAGATTTGCCACTGATGTACATTCATTGTGTTCCTGAAACACCCAGGAACACGTGAATTTTACTTCCAGCCTTACAGGAAGACAGAAACTACAGTGATGTAGAAAATGGATATGTCATAGAATCATAGAATGGCTTGGGTTGGAAGAGATTTGGTCACAGGAACTCCTGCGCAGCCCAAACTCACCCCAGAACCCTCTTTCAGTCACCTCTGGTGCTGCCTCAGGAACAGGGAGGGTAGACACACTGAAATCAGAATCATGTTTCTGATTCAGGCTGTAAATAGCAAGCAGCTCACAGATTATTGCTCATCTTTACATGAACCCTATTTGCTAAAAGAATTACTTCAGTCTGTTCTGTTGTCATTTCACTTACATGGGTAGAACAACATAACTTACCAAGAATTCATGTCTTCATCTTATGCTTTAAAAAAATGCATCCACAGACTGGAGTTGAGTAAACTTGAAATTCACTCCCTGACTTTGCTTTCCTAGTCCTCAGCATGAGGCAAGGTTATGAGCTGCAGATTGAGAGTTTGCCAGTACTTTCAAAAGAATATGCTCTCCTTTTCCATTCGGGCGAATCTGGCGACTGGATTGTTTATTCTCAGCACCCTTCATGTTCTGCACATCTTCACAAGTGTCCTCAGCGTACTCTCAGTGAATTTTAATTTTCCACAGATCACTGTCAGCTTCTGACCTCAGCTGTAGTGAACCAAACATTGTCAATTCAAAGCCAGACTGATAAGTAGGAAGTGTTCTGCAGAGCACACACACAGAGAACACCATTCTGCCTATGAACCTTTTTCTAGAGCTAGAGAAGCCCACTTGGAAAAGCCAAAAATTGCGTGTTCTACTGGCTTTTACTCAGTCAAGACCAGAAGCTCCTTGAGAAATGGGTGATAAAATCTTCAACCTAGTAGTCTAGAAGGTATCTGCTTCCTTTTGATACCGTACTTGAACACATGTATCTATACCACTCCTTAGGAGGTGATCATGGGTTCTGGAAATTGAGAATTTTCTTTGGAATACAGGCATTTTGAAGCTTTAAAATCACTTGCATCACTTCATGCTTTGACTGATCCTGACTCTCATTTCCTTGTCTGTTTCTGAGAAGCTGGTATAAATCCTTCCACTCTAAAGCCATCCTCACATTATCAGAGCAGAAGGTCACACAACTCACACAGTGAGACAGACTAGTAAGTAATCTCACTCTCTAATGGACATCAAAGATCTCATGACTCATTCTGTACTTATCACACACAGCATTCTTATTGGTGTTGCTTTATTCTTTCATGAAAAAAATTAATAGAATGTGAAACAGGCAAAGAAAGCAAAATCAAAACTACAAGTCAAAAAACAGTGACTAAGCCCAAAGCTGCTTAGTTTTTTTGCTATAGAGCTTGTCTGGATTTGCCCCACATAATCAAGGTCAGGGTTTAGACAAATGGGAGAGTGACTAGGAGAAGAACCAGTACATTGAGAAGGAAAAAAAAAAACATACCTGTGAATTCTAGCCCAACTTCTAAGTGACTGTGTGGTTGTTTCCTGTACACAGATGAAGTGCTACATTCAACTTACAGATGCACACGTTCTGTGAAATACTCTCCTGTGAAAATCTCTGATTGAATGGAATTGTCATTGTAACAAGTATCCAGTGAACAAGGAGAAGGATGAATGAAATCTCCAAATGCAAGTCCCTTTGCTTTGAGCCTTTAACTGCTCCTGTTTATGTTTGCTAAAACACAAGACCTTCTAAAACCGGGCTGTTATGCTGTACCTGCCAGCCAGCATTACATGTGTGAATCTTGTCAGATAAAGTTTGTCCAGTGCAAAAAGTTCCCTGTATAGATAAACTGCTGGCTTTCAGTGGCATTCCTCACTGTAGTCTAACAATATTTTATAGAGACTTCCCATAATCAGGAATTTTCTCTTTCTTAAAAATAAAACTGAAAGTAGGTCTGGGATGTTTATTTTTCACAAATAAGGTCTCAAAAAGTTTTCCTTTGCTGTCTCCTTGAGTTAACGTGTATTATTTTGAATAAAAAGTTCTTTGGGAAGTGAATGGAGGTTCTTAACATGGTACTATTGGGAAACATTATGGTCCTATGAGAAACGCAAGGACAAGACTATCAACTGAGTCTGCAATATAAGATGAAACTTGTTCTATCTCAGATCAGTGACCTAAACAAAAGCAGTGAGATGTAATGCCCCGATGCTTTTCAATTCTATTCTTCAAAGAAGAGACAGTCCCTATTGCTCCTTCTCTGCTGGACCAAGCTATATGTTTGCTATGGTAAGAGACAACAGTTGTTGTTTCTGTTGTGCTCTCACTGTCTTCATTCAGTTCTCTGGTCCTGAACATAGAGCTGACTTCTGCTCTGTGAGGGTGTTTCTTAAAGACTCTTTCTTCCAAAACTTCAGAGTACTTAATGTGCTTAATTGTTTGCTCCAGCTGAATATTTGATGAAATCTCAAAATGTTGAATGTGAAAAGAAGTTCACACTCATCTATAATATGGTGGGATGAGAGAAAAACATGAACACATACTGTGCACACAGTAACGTTTGACTGATTACTGACAAATTGGCTTGGCAGAAACCCACAGTCATGCACGTGGGAGGGAAGATGCTCAATTCAGGCAAGGACTCACACCACCCTAATTGGGGCTGGCAAACAATACTGGACAAACTGTGAGGCATTCAGTGGCAGACACATGTTTCCCCAATAAACTGGCAATGCCACTAAAAAAATACAAGTTGCTTAGTTCATTTGCACAGGGCCACCTTCTGAGAATGACCTTCTGCCCCGCCTGCTCTCCATTCGAGTCTACGGTTGGAAAGCCAAACCCTTTCTTTCCAAACACTGCTACCATTAAGTGGTGCAGAGAAATTGGCATTCAGAGCAGCCAAGAATCCATCAGATAGCTTGCACCTCTGAATTCTGCCAAAGAGAAACTATTTGAGGCAAAAGCATGTTGACTCAGTGGGCAACTGGACATAACTGGCACTAGCAGAAGCTTGCAAGTGCTCGTCAAAGTTGTTATGAGTTAGAGTTTTATGTCTACAGCCAAGAATGAGCATAAATTAAAGCTTGTAATAACTGGCATTTTCAGGTTGTTGAAGTGGTTACAGTGTGGTGCTATTACATGCAAATCCAGATGTTTGAGAGTCATAAGGTACAATGAGATTAGTTTTTTTTAAGGATACATCTCATGGATAATCCTACTAAATCCATAAAGACAATAGTTGGTACTCTCAAAGACTGTGGTAGAAACAGGTAGAAACAAATAGAAATAGACGGAAAAGAGAAACATGGACTCAGCCATCCCAGGGATGGACATGTTCCCTTTGGCCATTTGGAAGAAACGTTGCTCTCCTACTAACTATTCAACCAGTAAGTATCTCCATCAAGTAATTGGTCAGTCAGAGCCACATGTGGCTTTGGTAGAGCAACTGGAGGTGGATTATAACTGAAATGCCTGGATGGATACTCTAATCCACTCTGAACAACTAAGGTGTTAGTTGCTGCATTCTGTTCCTGGAATGGAATGACTAAAGCAAAACTTACAAAAGAGTCGTGAAGGCGCTGGGCAGAACACAGGAGGCCTTCAGCTGTGTTACACCACATCAATCTATGGAGAGATCTATGAACAAGAAGAGCGAAGCTGTCAGCCATGCCTCAAGGGAAAAAAAAAATAACTTTTTTTTTCTTTTTGTTGTTCTACTCCTGCTGTCTGAATTCACAAAACTGATCAACAGCTCTGGAGCAATTCTAATTTTCTGTTGTATGCTCATCTGATCTTGGCCACTCAAAGCTAACTGTTGCCCATATTCCATCCGTTGAATTCATGGGGCATAAGTAATTAATTTGCTATCTACCTTGCAGATGAGAAGCCAGAATTATACACTCAAAAGCCAGTCTGATTTTAGCTTTTAGTACTGCAATCCCAAGTCAAGGCAAATGTCTCTACTATATCCCTGTGAATGGTTTGCACTCCTTCCTTTGCAATGCAGTTCTTTATATCTTCCTGTTCATTTCCTCCTTCAGCTCTCCACTGCCAACTACGTCAGACTTTTCAGAACAAGGTTATGAATGCTTTACTGTCATTCTTGTCTCATTGTTTTTGAAACTGTGCAGTGAGCAGGATATGCTTCAGTTACTATTCAGTCTTGGTCTAAATGCCAACAAAGTGAAGAAGAGAAGAGAGCAACAAGCCAACAAACTCAGTGACAATGAAGTTAAAAGTAAGCTGTCACATTCAGATCTTTGTTGCATTCTCCACTTCATGCAGACCTTTGACTCAGGCATTTAGGCAGGGTGGGGAATAAGTCTAGCCTTATTTTCATGGCACTGATGAATTAACTCATTCAAAATGGGGAAAGTAAATATTATGATGCTTGGCACTGTATTCCTATAGCTTTGATGTTCTTTGAAGTTTCATACTGCTTCAAAGCAGGAGAAGCAGTGACTTGTGCTGTTCTACAAAGGCCTGCCAACAAGGGTGTAGCTCACATACAGGTCTGTTAAGGGACTGAGTGGCACTGTCATCTGGCACTCAAGATTCTGCTTCACTTGTTCTCATGTTTACACTAATAAAAAAGTGCTGTTGACCCTTCTGGGATCTTGCTCATCCAGGGACTGCAAAGTAGTTTGTCAAGGTATATATATGCATATACATATATATGTGTGTGTGTGTGTGTGTGTGTGTGTGTGTGTGTAAAAAGCCCACTGAATCCTCATCAGTTTCACTGTTGTGGGCAATAGATCATTTTGTGTTGTTATAATATGCTGACAGCTACCTAGGATAGACCAGCTATAAAAATACCATCTTCCAAGAAATTACAGAGTTGGTCACAGAATATCGACCATGACAATTAACAGAGACATTGCTATTTTGCTCTCACAAGAGCTCTTCATTAACTGTTGAGAAATGGTTTCTCCTCAGTATCTTCTTGCCTTCCTAGTGTGTCATTGAACAATGAAGACTGTTTATCAAGCCATCTGTTAGGGGAGTCCTTGATTTGATCAGAAATGCATTTATACAGCTAAAGACATTATTTGGTACTGAGTAAATCTTTCTGGAATGACATGGATTTAATCTCAGGTGAATATTATGAAAGTAGCATTTCAGTGACAGGCAGGCAAGCTGGTAAGATCTCTGTCCTCACTGTATACATGAGTTTGGGTGCACGTGGCTATGAAAACAGAGGAAATAAAGCTGGACTATTTAATAATAATAACAATAACAATAATAATAATAATAATAATGACAACAACAATAATAATATAATGAAAAACAGTGCTTTTTCATATGAATCAAACAGTGTAAAATATTGAGCAAAGCTCTCAAGGAAGGTTGATTAGAGAAAGAGAAAGCATTTGCTATTAGCTGAAATAACACGTATGTCATTGGTAGGAAAACAATTAAATGCAAAAATCTTTCCTAACTCCTCATAGTCACCTCTTCAATGAGTCAAAAGGATTGATGACTCCTTGAAAACAGTGTAATAATAACAAAGTCAAACCTGACCCACAAAGTTTAATCTTAGCTCTCAGCTCTTCAATAGAAACAAGAGTTTAATGTATGCAATGGTAGAACTGCTGACATAAATATCTTACTACTGCAACTGTCTCTGGAGACCTTGTCTGAGCACCTCAGTGCCAAGCATTATGTAAAAATATTTTTTTACTGTAGAGTTATCAGTCAAAATCAAGGAATAAATAATGGAGAAAGAAGGAACATATTTCTTAACTGCCAATCTTCTTCACAGCCACTATGCAGTATTGCATTCTTTATGGATTGTTGTGCAGTTAGATTCAGATTTATTGGCAGATAGAAAATCTGGTAGCAGATCATCCTAAGTCTGAACAACACTACACGAAAAGCCAGTGTTGCCTGAAAAAAGAATCATATATCCAATCCTCAGCTGAAATAGTCTCAGACACAGTTTGCCAGAAATAATTATGTCTAATAAGCTGAGAGAAAGCACAATGGAATATGTTACAAATGGGTCAGCTTAGGCAATTTCAGTTGTATCATTTTATGCAAATGATCCCCACATTCTGATCCACAAAACAAACTCCCCAAATCAGAAACGAAATTCAGTGTTGTGCAGGCTCAGTTTCTCGGTGCTGAGAAAAAACAATCCCATGCTGGCAGATTTTAAGTAGGACTCTGGGAAGTTGCAAGACTCTTCAGCTTGCAGCCAGTGTTTAACCAAGAATATGGGGAAGCCTTTCCCTCCTTTGGAATCCTTACAGCACTACACCAGAGCTGGGAGCTGTCACCAAGTGCTGTCACTGGCATAGGAGCTGTACCAGCTGAATACACTTGGAAAGACCTGCACAAATGGTGGACAAGTGAAAAGAGGGAGGAGAGGAATTCCCTTAAGCTTCTGTCACAGTGACTCCCAGTGGCCCATGGCCACAGCCTAAGGGGAGCATCACAAGCCTGCATTTCTGCTCTTCACTGAAGCAGTGACACCCTCAGCATCCCCCAAAAAAAGGAAATTACGGGAGGACAAGGTGTATTCAGTGCTCCCCTTTTTCACACAGTCTGTTCTCAATACCTCTGACAATTTCTGGAAGAGGTAAATGCTACATATACTGTGAAACAGGAGAATTGGGCCTAAAAAATGTCTGCAAGTTCTCTACACAACTATCTCCTTACATCAGTGGAGCTAGCTCACTTCCAGACTGACTCTATCCCTCACTTGTTTGTGATTGTTGTGTACTTATCTATTACTGTGTGTTGTCTGTAGACAATAATTCAGCCCATTTTTTATAGGTAGTGTCTAATCTGGTAATAAGTCAAGAGTATGGATATATAAATGGAAAAATTTAGCAAACCTATCCCTGAAAGATTGATTTGCCTTTGAAATATGACCTTTCTTTTACATCCTACCAGCTTTTACTGCTTGAATGTTATTCAGACTTTTTGAACATATACACATTTGGTTTCAAATGTAACAACTTCCACACCAATTTCTGCTTCAAAACAGAAAGATAGAGCTTAGTAAAGGAAATGGTTTGCAAGGTTTAAGGCAAAGAAGTTACTCTTTCTTTGTCTATTATGCTCTGTGCTTTTACAATATTTATCATATAATGGGAAGCCTTCACAAATACACCATATTTCCACTTTCAAATATTCAAAAATTAATTTGATTCAAATATCATAACACTTCTAATATATTGGTTCTATTCATATGCCTTGTAGTTTTAAGTTTTTAGGTGTTTTTTTCTCTCCCATTAGGGTCAGTACTTTTACTTTCAAAATAAAGGTATTCACTCCAGAAAGTCCTTCCTCAGCACCTACAGGGACCACATCCCAATTTGAAGGGAGTGTGTGTGTGTGTGTGTAGGTCTCAACAGCAGTAGTCTCCTCTCTTTTCTTGAAACATAGATAGTCTTCATCTTTTTCTCCTGCCTCCTGGGATGAGACCAAAGCTGTAAGCTGGTTTTATCCACCAGCAGAAATAACTCAGGCCACAGAGAAAACAGATATGTCCCTTCTTACCCTCTGGTAGATTTGGGTAGAGACGAGAGAAATGCTTTGGTCCATCTTTGTAAAAGGGTAGACCTGTCACTGGTTTAAAATACCCACTTCTTGACCCACTTGCACATATTGGTGTGTACAGCTGCTTCCTCCTGCTGTAATTCCTTGGAGGCACGTCTCCTTTCTTTATCACTCTGCAATCTGTTTAAATGCTTTGGTCTGTAGCTCAGCAATGCCACCACTGCAAATAGAGTGCTCGGAGAGAAGATTCTCCTGGTTACTAACTGCGTGCCAGCTCCTTGCCCTTCAAGCACTGCTCACTTAACTAAACACATGCAAAGGGTTTCTGTGTGCTGACTTGCAAAAGCATTGCAAAATACAGGAAAGAGGGGAAAGGCAATGTCATTGTGCTGACTGGACAGAGAAGACAGGGTGCTTGAAGTACGTCATCATTCAACCAAGCATTCAAGCACATGGTTAAAATCAACTACCTGTCTAAAGTGCTTTGCTAAATCCAACCTTCCATCCACCAAGATGTGAGATTGAGTTCTCCTGCTAGAACACCAGACAGGCCTGCAGGAGTGTATGGTAGGAAGCCCTTCTCCTATAGTTATTTAATTACATATTAGATAAAATCACAACCTGTGGAGAGCAAAAATCCCAAAAGCTTGTGGGCACTGATTTTTGACAATGACCATCCCTGAGAAGTCATCAAAAGTTCTCTGAGACTTCTTCAAAAACCCAGCAATCAAACAAACCGAGTCTTGTATCAGTATATTCTAAACTGAAAAACCTCATGCCCTGCCAGAACAGACAAAATATTGGGGTATGAACACTTTGTCATTGAAAAACTATTTTAATACAGTAGTTAGCAATATTTCTGCTGACATCCAAATGTAGGATGCTAAAAATACTTTCCATCTTCATTTCAGAGCAGAATTTTGTATGCATAAATAAATAGATGCTCTCTTCAAACACAAAACAGATCTGACTTCTAAGGCTAGACAGAGAAAAAAAGCAGAATGCCGGGGTTGTGAGCTTACTCTTATTCTAAATTAGACACACAGTTACTGCAGTTGTGTGGCAAATCAGGTCTTTGAATGTACAAAATGGCAAGAGGGCCATGTCACAGCAAATTCCAAATGGGGGT